AAATACTAAAAATAAGTGTAAATTGAAAATGCATACAAAACATTTCAATGTGGATAAGACCGGCACAAAAAAGACGAACAAAGAATAGCCACTTGAAGAATATAGATAATACAAAAATATACATACACTGTGCGACAACCGATTAGCACACCCAATGCTGCTCGTCTTAGAAACTTAATATCAGGAAAACTAAAAAACCTTTTCAAATAAATTTTTTCCCCTTAAAAGAATATATAATTTCACACGAAAATTAAAAGAAGATGGGATACTCACTTTATTAATAACATTTTAAATTAACGTAAACCAACATAACATACCAATTTCACTATTATTTTTGCGACAGCCGATTAGCACAGTCACTTGAAAACTTAAAATAAAAAAAGAAAATGGATTCAAACTTCATTCAAATTGTTTTTTAATACTAATTTAAATATTTTTAACTTTTTTTGAAAACAAATTAATAATGTATTGAGCCTCCACGGTTAAGTATGACTTCGTACATCCGCTGAGGTAAGGAGGCATATAATTTTTTTATATAATTCAGTGAAACAGCCTCATAGGACCTTTTTATTCCTTCAATGAGTTCTGGTTCAGTTGAATACTGCCCGCCGGACTCGTAAACCTTTCGTGCCAGCCATCCCCCAACATTTTCTATAATGTTTAGGTCGGGAGAGTATGGCGGCCGTTTCCACGTTTTGACCATCAATCCAGGAATTTACAATCCTGGCTGTGTGGATAGGTGCGTTTTCCTGCTGGAACTTCCATTTCAAGGGTCCAAAAATATCCTTGATTGCAGAGAAAGCCATATTCAGTACACCTTTGTACGCAATGGCATTCATACGGCTGGTAAGAAACTGCAGTTCTATTGTGCCAAAGTATGTTAAAGCTCCCCACACCATGACACCACTCGCACGGCTGGGCAATCGATCTAAAGTCTGCTTTTCCTTTCTGAGATCATGAAAGTAGTAGGCATAGCCGTCAGGACCCTCCAAATTTTTTTCATCTGAAAAGACTACACACTCCCACTCCTTAGACCAGATCATATTTGATCGACAGAAATTGAGTCGTTGCATCTTTCTAAGTTGGTTTAGAGGTGGTTTTTTTTTTTAATTTTAGGTGCTTCATATATTCAGCATTCGAAATAACTCTTTGCACAGTCCGAACGCACGCTTTAACAACAGTTTTTTCCTATATTTCGGCGGCTGAGTCGTGGGAGTTAGATGCGTGTCGTAGTATGGTTCGCTTGTCAGCTGCTGTTATTACTGATGATGGTCGACCTTTCATGTTTTTCCCATATGTATCCTCATTGCTTAAATGTGCGGTAATAACTTTACGGCTGCGTTAAATATTTTTTGATATTTGAAGAATAGAGTGCCCGCACTCCCTGTAAGCCTCTATTTTGCCTTTTTCAGACTCGTCCAACGGTTTTCCTTTGCCCATTATTACCTTATTTTATTGATAATTAGTCCCAATAAATAAATAATAAACTTAAACACCCAATCAAGGCAGCTTACACGCAAAAAGTGACATGAAAGCGAAGATTTGCTAATCGGCTGTCGGAAAAAACATGCATGCATTTCTGTTGCACTTCAAAGAAAAAAGCAAAGTAAAATAACGGTACACTTCCAGAGCTCACAGTTATACTTAGAATGAGCGAAAATGATACAGAATAAAAGGAAATATAGGATACGCACGAAACATATTCAGAGTAAGGAGTTATTTTGCTTTAAACTGATAGGTTAGAGACTGTGCTAATCGGTTGTCGCGCAGTGTACATTAATACACACACATGTACGTAAAATTTACACTTATTTGAGTTACGTTGATTTTTTTAGAATAATTTGAAGAATATTTTGGATTTATTAAACAAATCGGTTTATAAAAACGTCATTCCATTTATAGTAAACTTAACTGAATTTCAGTCTTCACAAAGTTCATAAAAATTAAATGAACTTTGAAATTTCTTTACGAAAAATAAAAAAATGGAAATTCGTTTTTATACCATTTTATTTTATCTATTTATATTTTATTAAGTTTACTTGTTGGGGATGTTGCTCATTAAAACCAGAATATTTTTACATCTTTTTTTTTTGTTTTTATCTTTAATAGGAGAAGTTTCCAACATAAAGGCGTAAATACTTATCTAGGCAAAACTTGTATATATACATACGAGGTGTGTTCAAAAAATATCGCGAATTTTGTGTTTTTTCAAAAATTATTTATTAATTAAGGAATATCTATTTTATTCCCTTCAAAGTAATCCCCATGGGATATTATACATTTGCGCCAACGGTTTTTCCAATCTTCGAAGCACTTCAAAACATCATTTTTTTTATCTTGTTCAGCTCCTCCTTCGATGCCGTCTTTATCTCGTCAATCGTAACGTAACGTCGTTCTTTTATGGGCATCTTCAGTTTAGGGAACAAGTAAAAGTCACAGGCGGACAGATCTGGGGAATACGTTAGCTCCGGCAACAAGACAAGAACTCATGATGCACCACGCTCCTGCAATTAATTTTTTCGTCTGTTGTTGAAGTGCTCGGGCGTCCGGCACGCTCTTCGTCGTTCACATTTTCTCGGCCTTCTGAGAACATTTTGTACCACCGATAAACGTTGCTTCGGTCCAAGGTAGCTTTTCCATATGCCACCGTCAACATTCGGAATGCATCCGCGCTCTTAATTTCGTTTTTCACACAAAATTTGATACAGTTCTTTGATCCATTTTTTGAATAGGTAAAAAATCGAAGACCATCCAAAACACGTGCAAGCAAAGCAGCTGTCAACAATTAAGTGAACATTCAAAACGGCCGAGCTTGTCGGCATAAGTGACAGAAATGAGTACCAAAATAACGCCACAAAAAAATCGAAATTCGATTATACGTAACCCGCGAAAATTCAAAATTCGCGACACTTTTTGAATACACCTCGTATGTACTCTTTTACTCATGAAAAGTAAGTGACCGAATTTTTATATAACAAAATAACTATAATATAAAATACAGTAAAAAGCACGTGTGTGGGATGTGAAACTAGCAAAAAGCCAAACTCTCCTGTTAAATATTGAAGAATAAATACAGAACAAAATGTTGTTGTATGGGCTTACAATAACTTAATTGCGAATTTAAAATAATGAAAAAAGCTATGCATTTTAAATTGAATGAGCGTGGGAAGTGGAAAAGGGGAAAGTATCAATACATGAGAAACACAATGAGAACTGTCGATGCAAATGCTTAAGTGCAACGGTAATAATTAAATTCACCTTCGATTGCATTAACATTAAGAAATTGACGAGCCGTAAAGTACTAGGGGGGGTCCAAAGTTTCTGGCCAGGTACGTAGGTATCTACATAGTGTTCGTTATTTTATTTGTGAGTAATTTCTCTAATTGTCGATTTGCTGATCCTTATCTGAAAGCGACTAAGATCCCATATATGCAGTTTACTGCCTGTACAAAACGGTAATAAGACTCATATTATTTTACGGAGTCACTGTCTATTGGTCGGCAGTAGACAAAGCTACTCAGAGGTGCAAACTGGACAAGTGTTCAGAGAACAGCCGCAATACTCTTTACAGCAGCGCTGCCTTTAACTCCTGCAAAAACTCTTAAAATTCTCCTTAATTAACTCTTTATAGGCTTGTATAGAAAATTACAGGCGAATTCCAACGTCATAAGTCTAAATGCATTTCAGCCTTGAAGAAACTGTCCTACACACCCAACCTTTTTTGAAGACACTTTCTCAATAACAATCCCAGGGAGGAAGGACTCCGTAAACATCTTCACTTAGTACTCGAAGACAGGATGGAATGTGCGGTTCACTCTGCACCTTTTACAATCGAAGTGAGCAAGAGGCTTCCAGACCATTACACCGACCTTCCAGCTGAACTAATTGCAATAATGGAAGTCGCTCCATAATTACTCAACTCTACTATGGTAACTTAACCTGTTACAATAAATCCTGTTAGCTGTCATTAAGCCTACTTCTTGTAATAACACCACCACAGTGGTGGCAATAAGACTTAGGGAAATCTTAAACAAACTATCGACTGTGTGGTTCGAAACCCTAGACATATAGACATCACAGGAAATGGCACTAGATGTGGGCATACTTCTTCCTCTGCAAAATACCTGTTAAGATGGGAGAGTGACCACACGCAAAATCCTGACAATATTTATTGCAAATATATGATCCTTCCGTATAAAAATATAAATTAGTTCTTCCGACAATTAAAAATATTCAGCAAAGCGATATGATACAGTTTTTAAAGTACAGAAAAACTTAATAGATTGTTGCTCATATAAGATAAAAATTATGTACATACATCGAAGTGAGTGCTTTTCTACAGTAAATAAAATTCTTACGACACAAAGAGTAAATGCAAAACATCTTATATACGACAACATTAACAAAAACATGATAAATAGGACCAGTAATGAGCAAGACGTAACGGCTGCTCGTGAACACATATTATCAGAAACGCGTTGAAAATATAGACTTTTACGTTTTTAAGTCGGTTGTGAAGAAAACAACAAAGTAAAGTGGAGTTAAATGGCAGAAAAATGTAAATAGCAATATGTACATACATATACAATACATATGCATGTACATACATAAACAGAGCTGTGTAACCGCCGATACGAATTTTGGCCGAGCTCCTTCTTCAATTTTTGGTGAATAAATTTTCAATTTTTCCCTACAATTTTTTCTAAGCAACCGATTAGAAAAATTAATTTTCAGTTAATTTGGATACTTGGTAAAATCAGAACTTCAATACTGGCCTTCCGTGTTAGTACGCACAGCTAACCAATCGGCTATTGCGGCCGCCGGATGTCACTATAATCCGTACTAAGAATTTGTTAATAGAAGACAAACATAAATTCCTCCAATGCTGGCGATTCTACCAACAATATCAAATGAGGTTTGAGTGCATCGATCATGAAGTGTGCGGTAGCAGGCATTTTGTAGTAAACAAAAAATATAATCAAAAGGATTACTATACATACCTATTTAATTTTTGCTAATTGTAATACAGAGGCAAAAATAGGTGGTAGTATTTTCGTATGATGACGGTTCGCTTTTATGTGTATTGGTATCTCGTCGACAGCTTGAAATCAAGTCAAACTCAGATGAAATTGAATAAGCGCAGCAACAATTAACGCAATAAATGAAAGTCTCTTTACCCGCCCGTGCCAACGACGAACAGCTGCTAACCACTTTCCAAAGGCTAGCACAAAGGGTCAATAAAAGGGGCGCAGCAAAATGAGCGTGTCAAGGTGGAGTTTTAGTACGAAAAACACAATTTTTTCGCTATTTATTGTTTTTAATTACTCTATAACTGCACTAAAAACCGAGTCTTACAATTATATATACACTATGAAATTACTCGAATATTAAGAAGTTTCAACGCAATTAAAATATATACTTTCGAATTTACTTTTTAACTTTTAAATTGGCCACAAAGATAGGATATACAACTTCAACTTGCTGATAAGTTCACAACTTTTTAGTGCTAGAATTTCATGCTCTTCTACGCTAAGCCATTCAAAGATTTTATTTCAGTAAATATTTTTCAGTTTATGTTTTAACACAAGCACTTTAGTTGATGTCTCGTTCAAAAATTATAATTGTTATGAGACATTTTGCTTAAAACCGTTTTCCTTTGCATTGTTTGTTGAGTAAAAGGCATGGATATAGCATGCATAGTAGGAATTTCAGTATATTGAAAAGAGTACAATAAACTTTGTAGTTCTCAACGTCTCTGACAGTTGTAAAGACAGTACGAATAAAAATTTGTCGTGAGTCATGTTAAAGAGTTGCCAATTTATAAGATTAATTAAGCGATTGTTACACGACGCAATATAAACGTTGCTTACCGGTTTTTCTCTCGGCCGATTTGACGTCATGTCAGCTCAAAATATATATGCGCTTGTAATTATAAGATATATGATGCCGAAGCGCAGACAATGTCGACGTCCTAACAGGGTTGTAAGAGCTATACGACAGTTAATCGAATATGGAGACAATGTTTAGGCTGGCTGGGTCGTCGTCCGAAACAACTCCGTATTTTAAAGTAATCTATGTAGTACTTCGTGGTGAAACAATGTAGAAGAAAGACATCCAGACTGCTAGAAGGATCAGGTAGAAAGTTACTAGGTTTCACCTAATATTTTTAATTGGTGGCAAACAACGAAAAGAAGAAGTCAATGGGGCGTTATTGTTGATTCGGCTATTATCGCGTAAAAGACGCCGACGCCGTATATATGAAAGTAATTCATTAAAGTACGTACGATTTACATTCTCTGGTAGGCACCAATAATATCCTAGAATTTATGGTAGATAATTTTTGAGAAGAAATTCAAATTAAACTCCAATTTAATTTGTGTGAATCTAATTTTGATTTATTTTTAGTAGAACAATAATAATCCAATAATTGAAAGTTCATTTTTAGAAATTTTAATTTATATTTAAAAATGTATTTTTACTAAAATAAAAATAAAATATTTACTGCATTTAAAAATAAAAACATATGTTTATATAAATTAGGGAAAACTCGAAACGAATGTAACCCTGGAAATAACTAAATGGGGGATTCTTCTAATTTAACTTATTTTAGTGACCTCCTCTATTTTCTTGCGAATTGTTGCTGCAGTATTGTAGTTGAAACAAATCTTACATTTTATTATTATATATTTTTTTTTTTTTTTTTTCGTTTTTAATGCTTATTAACTTTCTTGTGTAATTACTCGCAATTCATTCTTTCATAAAACTACTCATAACATATAATATAAGGTTGTACAAGAAATCCACAATATAGTATAGTTCTTTCCACGAAATATAAAAGTAAAATTTGAAGTTTTTAGTTACGTCGTTATCGTCTGCAGTATTTTTTTCATTTATTCTCAATTTAAAGGAAACAAAAAAGTCTCCTGTTAAATAAGCAGATGTACATTTACGATTGGGACAACTTAATGTTAAAACTTTCTTTCTACAAAGCATAGCGAACCTAGGCAATGCACAAATCTCCTAATTATGTATGAAGATAGAATTTGATAGCAACCAATATGAAATTCGGCAACTAACATCAGGATGATTATAAGAAAAGAATCGCACAAACATTCTCACCTATACATTCACATTACTTCACACATACACGCGCATCCGACCAAGATAACAACTACACCTCTAACGACCTTCAGTTTTTCATGAAGCATTTTCCTCAGTTCACCCGCACAGCTCAACTGTGATATGGTCAAGTTATTGTTTTCAGTTGCAACAGCCCTTGCTACCGCATTAATGTTGGTCAAAGCTGTAGTGGGAATCAGAAAATAATGTGGTTGTTGTGGACGTGGCCGGTAGCTTATGCTTGAATGAGCTTCTCACGAGATAATACAATTGCTCTTTTCTTGTGGATTACCATTTTCACTCTCGATGGATATGAGAAGTCGATGAAAGATGTCGGCAACAGACTACATAAGGAATTTAAAATTTAAAGATTAATAATATTTACTTATAACATATATTTATCAATTTTACCTCATTTTGCTTTGCTGATGTTTCTAAAAATATTGCTCGCCAAGATTCAGCTAGTTTACGTCCCTCTTCTGTGGATACCATGCGCTCTTGATGTAAATCGGTTTTATTGCCAACTAGGACAACAGGTACACTGTGAAATGTAATGGTATAGTAAAAATACTGTGTAGAAGAAAAAATAACATACTATTTTTTCCCCATAACATCCAACAACTTTTCGTAGATTATTTTTATAACTTCAAAAGATTTCTGGCTGGTTATAGAATAGACGAGCACATAGCCATGAAAGTCCATGCTATATTGTACCGGGAATATACTGTACTCATCCTGACCAGCTGTATCAACAACTTTCACATCATAGTCTTGCGAATTGACACGCGCTACTTTCGTAAAAGCTAAAAAATAAATATATTATTTCATTGATTTTTTAATCCTGGTAGTAGAACTAAATATTCCTTTGAATTAAATCTTTTATTTGTTTATTTTATTTTTTTCAACCCTGATCAAAATATAAAATTTTAGCTAAATCTTTGTGGATACTTTTTTTTACAGTTAGTTCAATTCTAATACTCAATGCGAATCAATTACTATTAACTTGGTTGTTTCTGCTTATATCACTTATTTGTGACATTAAGCGGGGATTGTAGTTAATGACATAAGTATGTATGGATTATCTGTTATTTAGGTATGCATGTAGTTCTTCAAAAATGACTGATAGAAATATTTAAAACAAAATAAAACTTAAAAATTATATACATATACATATATACCTAACTATATACACAATTAGCAACATGCTTGAAACTTTCTTTGTGGCGCTATAACAGCTATAAAGATTTGCACAAATTAGTGAGAGAATTATTTAAAATATACATATGAATGTACAAAAAAATATTGGCAATGGAAAACGTAAGGACAAAATATTGCCGCTCATTCAAAAATAAAACGACGTAATTGAAATATTTTTTAGTTAACCCGTCAGACAACTTCTACATTTTATATACATGTAGATACATACATACGTATATTAATATGCGTACTTTTAAACACTAGGGCGGCAATCTTTAAATTGGAGTATATGAAATAATGATGTTAAGTCTTGAAATAAAATTTTAGTTTGATTAGTGGAATATATGCCTACAACAATTTTTCCAGAATGTGGTCCTTTGGAGTAATCTAATTGACACTCCTCTGTAGTCAGCTATTGGATCTACTTGATCGCTCGTATTTTAACAATACTATACTAAACGAAAATGTATGTGCGCAATAAGATTTTTCCCAATTAGAAAATAAATAATTAATTTAATGGAGTACTAGCGCTGTGCGCAGGAAATTATCACCCGCACAGAGTTAACAAAATATGGCCCAGCCTAATGTTGCCCATACTTATGTACATATATATATATATATATATATATATATATATATATTTGTACTACAGAGTTAGTTCATAATGAACATACACTGTGTCTGCGAAATTTTTAAGCTACAAAATGTAAAAACATTTTGGAAATAATTTCCGCAAACATACGAATTTAATAAACAATTGGAACTCCATATTTTCTGTCACCGTTAATTTATTTCCTTCTTCAACTCTAACCTTTTAACCATGATTCACATTGTAACACATGTATCAATATACATATGTACATATATATGTTCATATATACTTACTGTTTTCAATTGTTGGATCATAGGAGTCAACAAATTGGCCCTCAACGAATTGTATGCATAACGAAGATTTGCCTAGGCAGGTATTGGAAGAAAGACCAGACATCAATAACCAGTCGCAACGAAGCAAATATGAGATTCATGTTTAAGAATGTATGTAATTAAAAATGTTCATTAAATTATCAACTATATGAATGGTATAATTATATGTAGACACATACATATGAATATAAGTGCGTATTTTTACAGATTACAGCAGATACTAAATTGAAAACGCCTGAACATTCATATTTCATGAGGATGTTTTCATTCCAATATCACTGCAATCTAAGAATTTTGGTAATATAATTACGGTATCCTACCCACAGAGCTGTAGCCCATCATGGCAATATTGCGTTCCTTTAATGGCATTTTATGTATACCTTTCAACTAATCCTTTTGTACAAAACTTTAACAAATTTAATATTTATAACCTTTTATTTTTCACTTGTTTGACGAAGTTTTTTGTAGTGCAAATTGCGTTGTTATAAATTATATATTTCACATTAACTTCTCCAAAAAAATTGTACTACAGCAATTGTGGTAATTTGCTTTTATGTTCTACTTTATCATTGCTTCTTTTGCTAAACCTCAGCTGTTTTATTAGAAGACGTGAAATAATTTATTTGCATTTCCTCTACATATAGTGGTACTTTTTCGACTTGTACATTTTGTTATTCTACGTTTTCTACATCTATCTCTGAGTTTATTTTAGCTCGTACTGTACGTGCCTTAAATGAATTAAATGGTTTTAATAAGGTAGAAATTAAATTCAAATTTCTTATAAGTATCCAGTTTCATAAAAGCTTACTAAGTAATTAGTTAAAACTGGTGTGGAATGGAGGCCTGACCAACATGGATCTGTAGCAAAGTCAAGTAAAACAAAATTAACAAATTATTGAAATAAACAATAACATATGAGAGCAGTGGGAGGATTATCTTTGGTGGGAGGTACCAGGTGTTTTTGTATTTCCTTTATCTTATTATCTTCAGATTTGCTTTGCTATTGTAGTACGTTCTATTGTTAGATGTGTTAGACCCTTCCGAATTTCTTATCTTTGAGATATTCTTCTTTTATTAGAGAACTTGTCCACAAACAACAACAATGTTTTACTATTACAAAATTTTCATTGCTACAAGTTATATCGACTTCTTTGGTTTGTGAATGCGAGTGTGTTATCCTTGGAGACCGCCTAAGCAGACAAATATCCTGACAACTGAATTAAGAGTACGTTTTTTATATTAGTGAAGCATTTAAATATTGTGTAAAATTTTCATCAATTTATAGGGTGGATATTGTAATAAGCCAGTACAACGTGACATCAAAGAGGGAAAAAACAGCAAAGCAATAAGTGGAATAAGCAAAAAGTTCGACCGGTGTGAGTGGGAGTGGCATAGATAGAATACATTGTGGCACATTTAAAATAAATTAGGCATTCCCAAGTCATTCGTGTAGCATGTAAGCTTAAGCCCTACATATATTAAATGAAAGCAATTGAATTTAAAAATTAATTTATTTAATATATCAGCTGAATGAGAATCCTCAACGTGGCTTGGACACTGCTGAAAATGCTCTACCAACTACTGTGGTGTTCAGCGAGACTGCTTTCAGTACTATTTAACGTTTTTTGGTTTGTATGTAATCTCGCTTCGGCATGTATACCGTGGATGACGTTAGTATTGATGGTAGCCTGTGTGGCCTCGAAATTTGCGAAACTCCGTAGTCCAGACGAGAAACGATTGCTCAGGTTGCTTGGCGGATGTGCCCCAGAAGAACTTACTTATTGGCCGATAGCCAATCGTGGTGCGGGCTATGATGCCCCCGAGAATTCCAGAGCTGCAATAAAAAAGGTGAATAATAATACCGCTAACTTGTGAATCACTTTCCGTTTGTGGTGAAAAATCAATAAGAGTTGCTTATATCCTTGTACCCGTTTTTGAATGAATACGTACAGTTGATGAATGTATGTATTGTACATATGTACGTAAATGTATATTTCTTTTTATTTCAGTGCGCGGCACGTGGCTATCGGAATGTACTTCTGGAAGCCGGTTTAACCAAGTGTGGTGAAATTGTGTTAGTAAATCGAACAACACTGGACCGCGCCGGATTAGTTGGTGGAGCTTCAAGTTACAAACTGGATGAATTACGTAAATTGAATATAACGGAGCTTCATCCTTTGGGGTAAAGTAGCAAATGAAAAATTAACTTATTTTAAACATAGTTTCTATAAATATGTATGTATATGCTGTGCTTTCAGCTCTCAGTTCCAAGCCGAAACTGTACTTACACTTAAAGAATTATTAGACCTTCTGGAAGAACACCCACGCGTCACAATATTTCTGCATACTTTAGACAACAGTACAAGAATGTTGGAACAGTTAAAGGCTTTGATAAAAGCGAATGCACAATTCACCTCACGTACAATACTTATCAGTCGATCGCCATATGCCATTTACCAGGTAAAGCTGTCGTTGGAGTTTTATTACTTTAAATTTCATTGATGTTTTTAGATATAGATTTGGATAGAAGTAAAAGAAATATTAAGAGTTTTAAGTATTTCTCACAGAAATAAAAAAATATTCTATTTCAGTTACGAAAATTGCATCCAGAATTAATTTGTGGACTCTGGACAGAGAAATCACTTTCATTAGCACTACTCAAGGCCTCAACGCTTATCACATCGATTTATGGCGCCATTTTTCGTAACATTATAGCGCCGGTGATTGGAATCAGTGTCGTTTTCGTTAGCAAAGAAGAATTTAATCTGTAAGTTATTTTAATACTTATCATGCGTTTTCCGAAATATATATTATACATACATATTATATGTACTAATTATGTTTTCATTTACAGTCATGTTGCTGAGCTCTGGCGTAACGTAGGCGTTCGACCTGTGGTGTATAACGTCAATTCACCAAACGAAAAGCGCTATTTTCAGAAGACAATGAAAACCCAGTATTTGACAGATTCATTGCGATCTGAACCCCACCTCCTTATGAAAGCTTAGAACTAAAGCTATTACATAAAAAAATATGTATAATATACAGATGTATTATATATACATACATTTGTGTATAATAGAGTATATTTTTTTCGCTCATTAATTTTTTTGCGTAGCAGTATATAGACCGTCCCACATTTTTAAATTTCTGCAATATGCATAACTTTTTACTTTGCTGCCGTCACAAACTCATCGCGATACTCAAATTAATTTTGCATTTATGTATCTATAGTCAAATAGCTCGACAAAGTTATTATTTCATTTTTTGTTTTCTTATATTTGCATAAAGTCATCGTCTTAGAAACTGTTATACATAGATTTTTTTTATAAAAAACAATAGGATCCAACGAATACGAGTATTGAAGATAATTTTTTTTTTCAAAAATAGAAATAAAAAATTAAATTCGTAGAATCAATTCAAAACCAAATCCGAAAATAAATATTCTTGCATATGTAGGTAAGCGATGTTTAAAGCCTTAATTAGTGATTGATCCCCCTCAGCTTTATTATTTATTTGGTAATAATTTGTATTATTTTTGTTACTTTAATTTTATAATAGGTTTAGAAATTATTACATATATGTACGTACATAAGTATTTTTATATACATATGCCGACTTTATTTTTATGAAAGAAATATTTCAAAGCAAAGCTGCGTTTTATTATAAATTTGAAATTTGAGAAAATTAAAAACAAAGCGAAAACTTTTATTCAATGTTGGAATTTACTAAAAAAAATTTCTTAATTAATTTACATTGTTTTGTTGGAAACAGTTAGTTTATTCGTGATGTATTTTATTATTTTCATACATTCATACATATATGTATAATTACATATTAGTATTTTTTTTTTAAGTTTTGTTAGATAATTTATATTAGTTAATATTTGTTTAAACTTCGATTCAGATGTTATTATTTTAATTGTATTTTGCGTCTTTTGCGCATATTTGCCACCAAACGTTTTTAAGTGATGCTTTAGCACAAGAACAAAACCACAAATAACATGTTTTGCCACAAACAAACAATTTTATTTACATGCATACATTTATTTGTAACTGTCTAGTTTTACCAAAACTGTATTTATAAGTTAATTTTTAATTAATTCGATGTACGTGTGTGTGTATGTCAGAGAGCTTTCAAGTAATAAAAAGAACGATTTGTTTACGAACGAACAGAGGTCATGAATTACACTTTTCCTTAAAGTTTTTTATATACATCCATTATGGACCCAAAGTAATAGGTTCCAATTATCAAAGGTAAATAAAGGCAATATCTTCACTTTGCAATGTTTCAAGGACATTCATCAATGAAACTAAAACTATGCGAAACTGAAATCTTTAATTTGGGAAATAAACATGAATAATTTGGATGTTTAAAATAAAAAAGTTGATGGCTTGTTAAAACAAAATAAATTTTATGTCCAATTAAAAAATTGGGATTTATCTAAAGATTTAAAAATATATCATTTGTTGGTCTTTACCATTTAACAAGCTACACAAACACAAAATCGAATAGCATTTAATCCATAGTCCGCTTACGCGATTATAGTCCTTCAAGACCTTCCCACCTGATCCTTTCAATCCACTGGAGGTCTCTCCCTTCTGTTTCCATCAGCGGGTACTGCATATAATACTTTCAAAGTTTGAATGTTGTCACCAATACCAACGACATTACCTAAATATGTGTTGTTGTAGCGGTTTTACGTCCTGGGCCGTGCTCTGACATTAGGGTAGGCTCTTCATTGTCTTTATTTTGCGAGCAAAGTGAAGGACGGCAGACAGCTGGTGAAAAGAGTAGCCGATGATTTCGCAGGTTGTAGTTGTATTTGTCAGGCAGCGAAAATGTTTAAAAAGTCGGCTAAAATAGCTCGTGCACTTCTACGGGCCCGACGAGTCACACTCTTTCTCAAGGGGGTGAACAATGTTAATGTCGAAGTATATCTCGTACAACTCATCGTTCCATCGTCCGGGTTTTTATCCCGACTTTCATAATTGTTCTGCATTCAGGGTGAATAACTCAGAACCAGTGAATGCTCTTCAGAACGAGTCTGTCTCTTGTCTGTAAATCAGATCAGTGTTCTAGAGTAAAAACATTCATGTATGTATGTACTACGAAGGCCTGCTCTATGCAATTGACAGCCCAGTTTAAAATAAACGACAACATTTTGCGCTCAAGTCGTCACAGCACTGTCGAAAAATTACATTTAATGAGTGTACAGCGACCCAAGCATAGATATATTTTAGTTCAATGCCTATAATTTCATCGTCTCCTTAAGACTGTACGCTGTAATCTCATTAGGTGCCCATAAACCACGTAGGTTGGCCAAGCGGTAAAACGGGTTGAATTGAATGCTACGCTGTAGCCACACAAGGAGGAGGTAAGAATAAAGCTACGTAGATTAAATGTATATATAGAGTTTTGGCGGACGCGGTAGCGGAGCGGCTAGCATTGCGTACTGACATTCGGAAGGCTCGAGTTCAAATCCTGGTGCCACCAATATAAAAAAATTATGGAAAATTAATTTAAATTTTCTAATTGCGGTCGTCCCTCGGCAGGGAATGTCCACCCCTCCGAATGTATATATATTAGATAGGGTTTTCCAATAAGAGTGGTATGATTTCCTTAAAAAAAACATACACACACACACAGTATTGTTAAGGAAATTCGAATGTTTTTTATTTATTGTGAAATATAACCCATACAATCTACCAATTTTTTCCCGACTTTTGCGACTACATCAACTGGTATGTCAAGAATAGCAAGTTCAATTTTGACTTTAAAGGGTTGAAGAGAGTCTGATTTGTTGCTAAAGACCAATGACTTCAAATAGTAGTTTAATGGTGTTAAATCACAACTTTTTGTAGGCCGTTCAATGTATCATCTTGAAATAATCGAATCTCCAAACTTTTCTAGCAGTAGTTCGGTTATTGTAAGTGCTGTGTGTCATGTTGCCCTATCTTGTTGGAACCAGATGTCTTTAAGATCAACTTCTTCCAATCGGGGGTAGAAAAAGATGTTTAACATCGATATATACCGCTCTGCATTGACAGTAACGGTGCTGCCAGCTTCATTTCGAAAGAAGCTCGGACCGATGATTCCACCAGATCAAAAACCACACCAAACTGTCAATTTAGGTGAATGTAATCGTTGTTCATTAATTATTTTGTAGATTTTCTTCGCAGCAGAATCGACAGTTTCATTTGTTTGCCGAAGATGATTTTCTTAAAAATAAAACGTTACCGTTTTCAAGTTGTTGTTTGTGAATGTTTTTCTTGCGTATATCTTGCCATTATAAAATTGTAAAAATGAAAAAAAAAAGAGACAAATCATCGCATTAAAAATGGCCAAAACAGCATTTAGAAATCGTATCATCCCTATTGGAGGGGTTCCGGAAGGCCGAGATTACCACGAGATTTATGGACAATCCCTAAGGACCAGACTCATTTTACCAATGGTCGCGGTTCACATCGCACATCCTCCCCTTGTCTGTTCTCTCCGCGTCTGTTTCAGTTCGCGTCTATCCAGGAAAATAATTTCTTTTAAAATCGGCAAACGATTAGTTTTATTCATTTTATTTATTTATTTTTTTTTAGACATAAAGTACAATATAGTTTTTGTTGGTATTAATAATAGTTTGTATTTACGGTAGGTTATGTATGTATATGTATTTCTACTACGCTAAATGCCAAAGGCGAAACAAATATGCATTAACTTCATCATCATTACATTAATTTTGTCTTTTGTGATTTTGAATTGTGTTTTTCAATTTGAACAAAAAATATTGATTTTCAGGATATTTATAAGGTATGTATGTATGTAAATGTAAATATGAATAAGGACAATGAGAAAAAAATTACGATGAAAAGATTCATTCAAGTAAGTAAAACAAATAATAAATCTACAAAATACATATATATATATTAGCGCATTTCAAAAATAAGAACTATGCTCATGTGATGCAAACTTTGTGTCTTGCATCAATTGTATGCAAAGCAAATGCATTATTTGATAAAAGAAATAATTATAAGGTCTTAAATGGATCATGGGGCTTGTACCTGTAAATGCTTAAACAAGCTTTTTTCTTTCATTACTACTTCTATATTCTTCAGATCTTTCCTATTTCGTCGTCTCACTTTCGACGCGAACGCGTAGCACGTTTTTTCGGCGCTGATGATGCCGCGTCTTCCTCCTCAGCCGGTGTATCCACTGACATTGCACTGCTGGCTACGCTTGAGGGTGTAGCAGCGTCAAATCGAACAATCTTACGGTTTCGACCGCTTCCAACGGCCTCCGTACCCTCGTCTTCCTCAGCTGTGGCAGATGTGGCAGCAACTGCACGACGCCGTCCACGTTTAGGTGGGGATGTATCTGTAGTGGTGTGCTCTGTGGCGACCCTTTTTCGCGTGGGCGCATTACGCTTTTTACCTTTTGTATTCGCATGAGATTTAGCTTCCTCCTCTTCCGTATGTGTTTGTGTATCCTCATCCTCTTCGTGCTCATCATCGGCATCCACAACTACTGGATGATGTTGGGATTGCAGTGCACTGCCACTCGTTTCGTCATTTACCAATAAAGCTTGCTCCTCAATGTTTTGCTGCTGTTGCTGCTGCTTACGACGTCCTCCACGTCCCACACGTCCGGTAGCTGCAGCCGTTTTTGCTTTCTTGGTTTGCTTTTCAAGTTCCACTGACGGCGTTTCTACTTCTGGTGTGGTATCTTTTGTGTCGTCATCAGGATGTTGGTCTTCCTCGACAGCGGCATGTGCACCTCGGCGTGCGCGCCCCCCACGCGCTTTCACATGTGAACTACTTGGTTCGTCTGTTATTAATGCTGCTGCTGCCGCTGCCTTAGCGGCGCGACCCACGCGCCCAGTATGTGTCACTTGTTTCGATGCAGCCGCTGTTGTTGCTGACGAATCGGCCAATTCACTTTCCAATGGCAAAGGTGTAGCTGTAACATGCTTGCCGCGTCGTGATGTCGGTTTTACAATTGGATCTGCTTCTTCCCCATGGCTAGCACTTTGCGTGGTTTCCAGTTCGGAATGTGCACGAGACTCATCCGAAATATCTATAACCTGTACAGTTTTCGCGTTGCGTCCACGACCCCGAGCTGGCGTTTTTACTGTTTCAACTGCCTCTGTTTCGGCATTGGAAGCCTTTCGTGTACGTCTGGCTGGTGTAACACGTGCGGGAGTTTCGGCACCTATGGTTGAGCCGAGCAGCAATCGTTTCTTCGGCGTCTCGGCTTTCGCACGTTCCTCCTCAAGGTACTGCTGCACGCGGGCGGTGGGTTTGCGTTGACGACCACCACGACTTGTGGTCATGACCGCTGCTAAAACTGGTGTGCCAGTTATTTTAGTTGCAATTTCAATTACTGGCGTTAGTGGAAGCTCCACAGTCGGAGTTTTCGAAGCTGATGGACTCTTGTGTTTTGATGATTTTGGAGGTGCAGTTAAGCTGGTAGCACTTGTTTTTGGTAAAGATGCCTTCTCTATACGTCGCTTAAGGTCCACCTGTGCTTCTGCATCCGAGCTCTCGTCGTAATTTCGGTCCTGTGCCGCGGCAGCACGTCGTGGTACTGTACGAGAACGTTGCGGTGTCGTTGAAGACGACGAGGTATTACCGCCAATATTGGTATCCACGTCAACACTAGCGCCATCGTGTGTACTACTATCAAGTGATGAATCGCGTCGTTTACGACTTTGTGGTCGTTTCTTTGGCGGTTCATCTTCCACTCTACTGTCCACTGCATCATCCGTGTTTTGATGCGAATCTTTGCGTTTCCGCCTGTTTCGTTGTTTTGTTGACGCCGCCGCAGGGGATTCTGTTGTCGCAGAGCTGGTGGGTGCATCTTCATTAGCTTCATGCTTTTTAGGAGACGGTGGCTCATCCGTATGATGTGACTCGCGACGCTTGCGTCTGCGCTTGGCAATAATCTTCGTTGATGATTCTGTTTCTTCTGTTATTTCAGATTCTCCTTCTGTATGTTGTTGTAGCGTTTCTGTCACGGAACCACGGCGTTTGCGTAATACATTCTGCGGCTTTTTTTCTCCTACATCCGCCTTTTCCTTGCAATCTTCTGAAACATCTTGTTGCTCTACATCAACTGATTTCTTGACGAGTTCGGCTTGATGAGCAAGATGAGATTTGTTCTGATGGCTCTTGCCACGTAACGCACCTCGTTTGTGAGCTGATGATACCTCATTAATTGCTACCGTTGCTGCAGCAGCAGCTCCCCGACGTCCTCGCCGACCACCCACCGAATCTTCAACTGCGTTTGGCGACTCTGCATCATGTTCATCAATTGCGGACTTAGTCTCGGGTTCACTTTTCGGAGTTTCATCCGTATTAGTTTCTTCTGCTTTGTGCACTGCCTCTTTATCTACTCCATCTTCTGACTTCCTACGTCTATTGACTCTTGCACGACCAGCTGTAGACTTATTACTTAATGCCACCTCATGCTTCACGATTATTTCCTCATTATTCGGTTCCGACTTCAGATCATTTATTTCTTCTGTTAATACAGTGTGATCTTTCGGTATTTCGGAAGGCTTATGCGCTCGTTTCGTACGCATATGTTTTGATGTCTCTAACACTGTAGTGTGTACTTCTTTTTTCACTGCATCATCCTCAACACATTTTTTTGTTGCATTTGAGGACTCATATTCTGGTGCTTCATTGACAGGTGGTAAGCCAGATTCAAATGTGGATTTGACGTCTTTATTTCCTTGAGACTCCTTTATTAGCTCAATGTTAGCTTTAGACATTCCTTCTGTTTCATGTGTAGTGCTAGGAATGGGCTCGTCAAGGGTTTGTGGTCGTCCGCGGCGACGCCTCTGCGTAGTGTGAGGCTCTGTATTTTCACCTAAGTTGGAAGTTTGGCTCGACTCAGAATGGGTTTTCTTGCGTTTACCTCCCCTCGAAACGTTTGTTGTTATCTCAATGGCAGCCAAATTTTGAACTTCTTCTATATCACTAAGCGGGTCATCAGAATTTTTCGAAGACGATTTTTCTCCACCATCACCTAATTCCCCAACCACCTTACCCACTCGACGTCGCTTACTTGTGAGCCTTTCTGTTGGAGTATTTTCTAGTGCTTCTTCCTTTTCTTCGTGTTTTCCTTCTTCCATCGTTGGCTTGTTGGAATCAATATCTTTTCCGCTAGTGATATTTTTATGAAGTCCTGTTGATACTTGTGTGTCTTCAATGATTTCATTAACAACAATTATTTCTTTTGATTCAACCGTTTTGGTTTGTTGTTCACCCGCTGCAAGTTCACTCTCAGCAGTCTGTACTTCTTTTATGTCTTTTAATCGTGACTCTTCCGTAGTTTGGACCTGTCCGCGTCGGCGTTTAACTTTCGACACATCACTCGCCGTGCACTCATCTGCACTGTGTTCAACGGGTGTTTCAGCACGTCGACGCCCACCACGTCGTCTGGTTGAAGTTGTTGTCGGCAGATGATCCTCTTCGTGGGTTGAACATTGACTTGATTGGGAACCTTTACGAGCACGTCGAGTCTGTCTTTGGGCGTGTAATTCTTCTTCGCCTTTACTAACAGTGCTTACAGATTCAGCTTCTTCGATATGTCCGGTGGTTGAAGTTATTTCTTGGGCTGATTCTTCTTCTGCCAATTCAGATTTTTCTTTGTTTATACTTTCAATATTCATACTGGTCTCAGGTTGCTCCGGGATTGCTGGTGCAATATTTTTGATATTAGAAGCCTCTTCAATAACCTCCGATAAACGAACTTCATAGCTAGCCTTTGCGTAAAATTCTGTTTCTGCTTTACGCGTTGAAGTTGACACAACCACATCGGGTTTTGTTGAAATTGATTCATTGTTGTCCTCAACTGAAGGTAAATTTTCAATGGGTATCTTGACAGTAGATTCTACATTTTCTTCCGTTTTCTTCGACCGAGATGGCTTGCGCACTTTACGCTTAGCTGGTTCGTGCATTTTATCAGATGAAGTTGGTTTCTGTGTGTTATCTGTATCATCTGTGTTTTCAGCTTGCTCCGATTCTTCCTGAAGCACTTTGGAAAGATTTTCCCCAGTTACCGATTCTGTTTGGCTCTCTCCCATCTGGTTGGTACAGGGTTTTTCTTCCACTGTTGCTGCTTCAACAGGCACTGATGATACACATGTAGATTCTTTCTTTTCTTCTGTCATTTGCTTTGATGGTTTGCGTCCTCTTCGTTTTGCTGGCAGTTCGATTCCGCCGGACGTTGTGCCTTGACTTTCTCGTTCTTTTAAATTACGTAATTCGACTGATTCGGTGATTTCTTGCTGTGTTTCTGTTCCACATTTGGTTTTATATCTCTCATCTGCAGCATCCTCAACTAAAACTTCAGTTTCCAGAATGTTTTTAGAAACCAATTCATGGTCGGTCGAATCGGTTGTTTTCTTTGTTTCAGATGCTTTTCGTGCCTTGCGTTTTCCTGGTTGTTCATGTTGGTCTTCAATTGCTGATAGAGTCTTTCCAGCTTCTGGCATTTGTTGTGTTTCGGCTTCTTTTTCCGTTGCCTTTACTTCTGTATTTTCAGAGATGTCTTTCGATGTTTTCTTTGTTACTGACGTTGATTGTTCTAGCGCTTGTGCAGAACTATATCTATCACTCTCAACAGGAGTTTTAGATGAAGAGGGTTCAACATTTTCTTCTGGTTTTGATTCCAACTCAAGCGGCTTTGTTTTTAGATTCTCTACGATTGTTTCTTTATCACCTTGCCGATCTTCAAATACGGTCTCATCAGGTATCTCGATTGGAGTTTCGTTTGCGGTTGTGACCTTATCATTTACTTCATCTGGGGTATTTAGTTGCGCACGTTTGCTATCAGTAGCCGGTGTTGTAAGGTCAATAGATATATGTTGTTCTGATTCGGCTTTCTCTTCCCTTTCTTTGCCTTTGTTTGATATGGTACTTTCATTTTCCCCAACTTCTACAGAGGTCTCAACCCGCACTTCCTTTTCTTGTGTTTTGGTCGCACTTTGAATAGACGACTCTTCCATTACTTCTTCTACGTCACTATCCAGCTCGATTACAGAATCTTCTATTTGCAAAATTGAGGCTACCGATTTGTTGTTGCTATCAACCTCTTCTTTGTCTTCATTTATAGTTTGGTGGAGAACTTCAGGTAGCTCCACATTAGAAGAGTTTCCGGCTTGTTTCTCTTTTTCTTCTTGCTGCTCCTCTGCTTGTAATTGCAATATCGGCACTTCACTTTCTAAATATTCACTTTCTTCCATTGGCGTTTGAATAACCTCATCAGCACCATATATATCTTGAGCATATAGAGATTTTTCGCTATTGGTCACTTCATTGGTGGTATCCTTGATTACTTCAAGCTCATCCGCTTTGGAAGCAAGTTCTTCTTTTCCTTCTTCCTGTTCTGCTTCCAATTGTAACGATTTGTTGGTATTAGCCCCTTCTTTGTTTTCAGGCACCTCCGCGCTGACCGTGTTTACTTCATGTTCTTCTTTTTCTGCGTTACGTTCTGCCAATTTAGAGATTTCTCTTTCAGCACTGTCTTCCACAAGTTCTTTTGAAATGGCTAAAGTGAAACTTTCATTTCCGATGCTAATAGTTGCGTCGAGTGTGGGTTCTTGTATGGAATCAATTTTAGTTCCTTCCATTTCTTCAACGACTCCACTTTCGGTCGGTAACACTTCTACTTTATCAACTGAAGCATCTTTACTTTCTAAAGTTGTCTCCTCTGCAGCAGTTGTGGCCGTTGGAGCTCCTGCCTGTACGGAACTTGTTATTTGACCTTCCAATGTATTGTTGATTGTATTGGTATTATGTGGAGACTCAGTAGCAGGTCTAGAAATAATTTCTGTTTTAACATCTTCAGCGGCCTTTTTCTCTTGCGGCGTTTCATCGTTATTTCTGTATTCACTGCTTTCATCCTCATCTTCTTCAGTTAAATCCAATATTATTCCTTGGGTCGTATTTATAACTGGTAGATCTTCGGTTAAATCAAAAATATCACTTTCGTTGAGTTCATTACCAGTATCAGTCTCATCTGGAGGCGAGTCAATGGTTTTAGTCTGATTTTCGATTTCCTCTTCATTTGATTCTTTCAAAGCAATATCTTCAACTATTGTATCTTCTGGAGCTTCTAACTTTTGGCCAGCTACATTCTCGATTAATTTCTCATCATCATTAAGTACCATATTTGTTGTTGATGATATTTCAGTTTGAACGGCAGGGCCGTTGCCAGAAGTCCCAAAGCTAATTTCACTTGTGTCTGAAACGTTCTCTTCGTGCACGTTCGTTGATTTTTCAGCAGTTGTGACCTCAGCGGTTTCGCTTTTTGCACTTTCTACAATTTTCTGATCAACTTTTGTATCTTCAACAGCAGTTACATTTTCAGCTACACCTTCAATAATTTGAATATTATCAACTTCCTTTACTGGTACATCTTCAGCCTTTAATGGCTTGGGAGGAATTTCTTTTTCGGTCTCGACAGCATTTTTATTAGATGAGCTTTTATCTTCATCTTTTGCTAAGTTAGTAGATATGATATCAAGAGATGTGGAAGCGTTGACGCCAACATCCTCATTCGATGAAATGTGTGTGTTTTCATTTCCTTCTTTTGTGGTTCTTTCATCTTCTAATACCGTACTTTCAGTGGCTTCTGAATTCTCTAAGTTATTTTCAACTCTTACGATATTAGAACTTTCAACTGAATCTTCTATTATTTGTGAATCTTCATTTCCATCTATATGGGCTGTTGAAGATAATTCTCCCTTTATATGGCCAACAGAGTCTGTTTCTGGATCATTGGGAATCTTGACAGATGCCGTATCTGACATCATTGTCATATTTTCTTCGAGTTTCAATAGATTTTCTTCTCCCACCATTGGTTGGGTAGACTCAACTACATCCTCAGCAATATCGTCTTTTTCTACCATATCTACATCAGTTACGTCTACATCGCCAGTAGTTTTTTCTACTAATAGCACGTCGTCTTTTGGTGCCACGTCGGTCATTGCTGCTGCAGTTGTAGAATGAAAAGATTCATCTATTTCTTCAAGTGGCGCTGGTTGCTGTTTTATTTGTTCAAGTTTCAGTCTTTCTTCACCAAAATCAATTGTTACATCCGATAAGTGCTGCTCTGCACCTAAGGTTTGACGACGGCTTTGTGGTATTCTTTTCGTAAGAGATTTGTTCACCTGATCTGGAGTTGAAGCCCGCATTTCCCGAACAGCAATTGTTTGATGTGCGCTGAAATTGCAAAATTCTGATAACAATAATGTAGATTTATCACCATTTTCGGGAGTAGCAACTGTCTTCTCATCTTTCATCGATAAGTTATCTAGAGAACACGTTTCATCCGTTGGATCTTCATCAACTTCTACTACTGTGTCAATAACTTCCCCTCCTTGGTCCGCCTTTTCTTTTAACAATCTAGATTTTTCAACTGTCAAATTAATGGAAACCTTAGTAATTTGTTGCTCTGCTCCCATACTTTGACGGCGATCTCGTGTGAGTTCCGTTATACGCGCCTTACTACTACGATTTGGAGTGGAGGCTCGCACATGTTGGCCGGCGATAGATTTGTGGGCTTGGAAATTAATGAATTCCTCATGAATATCATTTGCTTTAGACACTGTTGAATCTTTTGAAGTACTTTCAGCAGAAGATGTAGTGATTGAATCATCGATCTCTATGACTTCTGCATCTTGTATCTCGCCTGTGCTCTCTAGTGGCGCGTTTTCTTCAGCAGGATTTATGGTTATGTTATCTCCCTTTAAATCTTCTTCGGGCTCTGAGTCACTACTGTCCACAAGCATTACAGGAAAATCTTCTTCTTGCGTTTTATTAGGATCGTCAGTAACCACTTCAATAGACTTTTCTACTTTCTCTTTATTTCGTTTTTCTTCTAAGACATTTTCATTGGTGTCTTGCACTGACTCCGAGTCACTCACTACCAATGCCTCTGAGAACACCGATTCAGTTGTCTGGTCAAGCAAATTGATACCGCTAATATCTGTCTCGACAGGTGTATCCGGTCTTAATGTTTCGTCCTCTTCAATGACGACTGTGTCCAAAGGATTGGCACTCTTCGATGTACTCGGTAGGAGAGGATCAGCCATTGATGATACACCACTCATGTCAGCGAGCAACTTTTCTGTAGTATCCTGATTCTCACTAATACTACTTATATCACTAATCGTGGCGCCAATGGGATCATGCGTTGCCTTGGTAGCATCCAACATTGAAGCTGAAACAGTAAACTCTTGTTCTTCTTCCTCTAATTGAGTCCCTTGGTCTAAATTATCTACCCATTCCTGAATATCAGTTTTGGGTAAATCGGAAATAACATCAGCTGCTGAGAAAGGCGATAGAGCAGCTTCGGCAGCATTAATTGTTTGCTGTTTTCGTACGTAGACCTTTCGTGGTGGCGTTTCATCCAAAGATGTGCGCAAGCCAACCATTTCATCAAACGCCTCTTCAGCGGATAGATTTTGTTTAGAAATTGTAGTTGATTTTGTTGGATCCTCAACATTTGGTGCAGGTGTTTCGGGAACTATGATTTCGCCTTCACGCAGTGTTCCAGCTAAACTTTCATCTTTTCTAATCTCAATCTCACTTTCATTTCTCTCAATATCTTCATCCACTTTAGTGCTCGTCAAACGACTCACCGGCGTTTTGTAAATATCTTCAAGCGGTCGCTGACTACTGCTGTGCAAATCATATTCCGTTGTAGCATTCATAATATCTTCAGATGAGCCTGAACTGGGCTCCAAAACAGCGCTCGCTGGATCGGCTGGTATCATAACATTTTTGGCGCGAGGTGTTTTAAAGAATTGATCCAGTTCTTCATTTTTATCATCCGATTCTTCAATTAATTTTGTACGTTTTGGTGTTTGCATTAGTTCTTCCACACCGCCCAAATGCGGTGTACTGCATGCCTTCGGTGTGCGTAACATTTCTCGTATACCACTATAATATGGAGTACTTGTATGTTTAGGAGTTTTCAATAGCTCACGCATCCCAATAAACTCAGAACGAGATTTAAGGGAAGTTGTTGGAACTTCTTCTTCTCCAAGAGCAACCTTTTCATCTAAGGTAGCAGCTTTAGGAGTCTTCATTAATTCGGTTAATCCAGTAAAACGTTGCTCATCATCCACTAATTCTATTGTTGTTGCGGCAACTGTTGTTTTGGGTGTGCGCATCAAATCGCGAACACCAATTAATTTTGGCGTTTTCTCGTCAACCTTCGGTGTGGTTAGAAGCTCACGCATGCCGACCATTACTGGTGTTTTCGGTGTGTCAATATGAGTATCTGCAATTTGAACAGTTTTACCTTCACGTTCAGGTGTTTCTGGTTGATCACCATATACGGCCGCCACTGAAAATATTGCAAAACCGAAAATTGCTTTAGCATAACTATCTACTTTTGAAATTAATTGTTTAGATTTTTATGTTACTGATTTTTTAATTCCAAATATTTTCATTTTTCTGAATCATTATAATTTTCACTTTCAAATTTATAAGAATTTTTTATTAAAAAATAAATTATTTTTAATATATATAAATATATATATAGAGAAAAATAAATAAGTATACACTAATTCACACAAATTTATAAATGGCGCTTTGTAACCGCTGAAGCTATTTTCGGCCGAATCTTTCCCCCAATTTGCCGTTTTGCGTCTTGATGCTTTTCAAACAAATTGAGGGACCTGCAGTTTATACTAAACCGCCTCCCAACGACTGATAGTGTTCTTATGAGAAATACGCTCGGAGGGGTGACATTCCTTGCCCATTTTAACACAAGGCGGAAAAATGTTTGCAAAAAATGTTGTCAATCCTTTTAAAATTTGTAAATGAGTATAAACGAACAATTAATTGCATTAATCCTACTTATTTCATTCTGACGCAAAATAGGCAAATACTAAATTAAGTTCCATGTAAACAATGCAGACGTAATTTCAATAACATTTCATTAGCTACTGATATCCTAGGAAAGCTTTTCTTTAATACCTATTTAAAGGACCTGTAAATATTTAATTTGAATGTTTTCTCTTCTTCTATCACCGCTGATAGATATATTCTATCAAATTTTCTAAACTGAACATTGCTTGGTAATTTTACTCGCTGCATTTTGCAGCCTTTCGATTGTCTCATATTCAGTTCCATCTGAAAATAACCTTTGCTTACTTATTTTTAAAAATACTAACCCTCTCCAACTTCTTTTCCGTACTCATAGTCGGATTGATCATGAATATCGCCAGTTTTATTGGGAATTTCTGTGGCCAAGCCTTCACTTCCAAGCAAAATTTCGGCTGCAATAAATATGTGTTTATGTGTGTCTATATTGTTTTATGTAGTTATTAAACGTTTACCTTTCAGAACTTCTCCAACAATTTCTATATTGCTATCGTCATTATTTTGACCTTTAGTTTGTTTTTCTGACTTAGTTTCCATTTTTTCTAAAATTAGTTAAATAAGTAAAATCAACTGGATAGAAAATTAGATATAATTATTTACCTTCGATTAGAGTTTTAGCATTTTGCACATTTGCCTTCGATCTTTCGGTGGTAATAATATCATCGACTGCAATTTAAAAAAAAAATAATAATATAAAAATATGACTGACCTCTTGTTATTGAAAATTTAACTCACCTTGCTTCGTTTGATTCTCTTCATTCTTGGTCTCTTTATCTACATATTTAGAAACAATGTTTTCTATATTTTCCTCGACATGCTGCCTATGTGTGCTAACTTCTTCACAAATGCTTTCTTCAATCACCTTCGGAATGCTAAGCGCTGTAAAGCATATGTACATACATACATTTAAGTATAAATAAGTTATAAATCTTGTGCATGTGGTGGTAGTGTAACTATTTTTGTTTATATTTTTCTTCTATATAAAAAATAAATATATTATTTTGAAAGAGTTGAGTTCAGTTTTACTTTTATTAGTATTTCTGGCATAATACAGTCGCATCTGTTCAGTTAGCAGAGAGTGATAGCTCAAATGTTAAAAATGTCAACAAATCTTTCTCCAACCTGCGTGTTTGGAGTTAAAAAATTTACCCGCGATAATACATGCCTGTCGTAGGAGGCAACTAAAATCCAATAGTTGCTGAATTTCTATCCGGCCAAGGACTGTCACTCCCGCAACATTCCACAAAAACTACCTTGTGGAATATTTTTGCGGTTACAACAACAAAAAATCTTACTCATTCGGTTTTGATGGTTTTCGATGTCAATGCTTATGTGTGGATACGCATGTATAATACCGAAATTCCTGATCTCGGATGCTTATTTGATCCAAAACCTCATGCATATTAAATAATCATATGTATGGAGATATACGATATAATCTTCAGATTTTGATAATATTTATTTCTATTTTCGTTTGTATGGTACCTAATATCACGTTGTTGGAAGCTTTTTCGAAGGATTTATGATCCAAAACGGTTACTTACAAATGATCGTTTAAATGTACCAGTGCATCTGTGCAGTGAGTTTGGTTAAAATATATGAAAAACACAAGGACATGGCTAAATCTACTCAGCCCGTCATTCTTATCTTATCGGTATAATTTTTGATGGGTCTATCTCTTCTCCTTCTGATACTTCATAGTTCGGCTTTAAGTTTCATGTACTTTCACTTAGGATTTAAGGCAACATTTAAGTTAATTTATCTCAAATTATACTAGATTTAATACCTAGAGGGCTTTGTATATAAAGGCTAAAATTTGCGCAACGCATTGTGCAAAGGTTTTAAAAGAACTTATTGGCAAAGTTATTTCACATACCATCTGCTTTACTTTCCACAGCTTCGGACTCCGGTTTATTGTCAGATTCGACTTGAGCTTGCGGAACGTCTGCAAATGTAAACGGAAATATTTGATGTACTACAATGGAAATACTTCACTTCGTACTTACCAGCGGATTCTTTAGATTCTTCTTCTATAATTGCTCCCATATCTTCTGCGATCGGGCAGTCAGTCGCCCGCTTAAGACGCAACCCACCACGTTTTACTGGCGTCAGGCACTTTGCAACAGCTTCTTCATTATCTAATGAAAGCGAAGATCGTCGTCTAGTAACGCGTTGTGGCGTGTAGGTTATTTCAGCTGAAGCTGACGCACGACGGCGCGTGGTTCGACGGGGTGTATCATTTGTATCGGTATCGGTCGCAGTTTTCAGTGTTGGAGTTACAGAGTGCGATGGTGTGGGCGTGAGGACGGGATTTGCTGAAGCTCTACGCCTAGCGCTGCGCCTGGGTGTAAATGTACTGCCTTCTGCTGTTTGATGTGGCGTATCCATTTTTATTTTCAACAGCGTTTTCACGCTTGCCGAGTTATCTTTTAAAGCAGCCTTTGCAGCTTCGGCACTGGTAGAGGCTTTTGGAGTGTCCATAAGATTATGCAAGCCAAAAATGGTTGATGAATTTTCTACTGGCTTTGGAGTGTTGAGAATGTCAGACAGATTCGATGTTTGAGGCTCTGAGGTTGTTACATTTGCTGCTTCCACCTCGGCTATAGTATTTTCATTTTCAATTTGAATTTGTTCTGAGCCTAAAGTAGAGCTTTCGGTTCTAACAGTTTCCTTGACAACCTTTTCAGCAATACCGGTTCCAATCAATGTACCTTTGGTTTTGGATTCCTCGGAAAAATATTTTTCGGGCTCTGCTGTTTCCAATTCGATTGGCTGTGCTTTAGGCAAGGGAGAATTTATTTGCAGCCCTGCGCTATTTACTTGAGTGGATACCACTGGTAAATTTACTGCAATCACTTCAATTTCCTTCTCTGTCACCGAAGCTTGAGAATTAATCAGGCTTTCTTTAACTTCACTTTTACGATTGCTTTCATTGTCTTTCTGTTCTGCAGTGCTTTTAATTTCAATTTCATCATTTAAAAGATCATTTGTATTCATTGAAACCGTGTCCGCCTCTGAAACTGCCGCAATATATCGCAGATTGGCTTCGGAGGATTCTGTTATAATATCTGCTTCAGACTTCGATGTTACAAGCAACTCTAGTTTTTTAGAATCGATAATGTCGACAGATACCGGTACCTTCTCCTTAACACTTGATATGTCTTCAGTATCTATTGTACTATCGGGTTTGCCCATGATGGCTGCTTCGGATAGTACTGACTTGTCATCGGAGTTACTTTCAACGGCAGAGACATCGGGCTCATTGAGTGTAGCCATGGATGTTATAGACGTTATTTCTGTGTCCGTTGAACCAGTTTCTAGATCAGACAGTGCAATCTCCGAAGTAGTTTGCAGTATATTGGATTCAAGTGAAATTGTGTCTTCTACCTCCGCCGTCTCACTGTAAGCAAGTTTGCTTGAAGTTGATGGTTCTTCCAAGAGAGGAGCGGAAGGTGACATTGAACCTTTATTTTCCGACTCTGATATTTCTTTTTCTTCCGAGGTTTTCTCCTTGTCTTTTTCGGTTATATTTACGTCGGCCGCAGTCTCTTTTGTTTTATCTGTGAGTTCATCATACGTATCAGTTGTGTTGTGGTCTCTTCCGAGCTGTTGTTGCAACTCGTCAGATTTGTTCAACACATATTCGATTTCTTGCAACAGCTCTGCGGTACCTTGAGATTCACCACTTGGTTTCGACCCTTCATCTGCATCAAATCCTTCACTGGTTGTTGGTGTTTCCTCAGCGTTATTTTCTGTCGGTGCCACTACTGTAGTTCCGTTTATCTCATCAGCATTTAATGTTTCATCAATTTCATTCTTTACTATATTTGCCCTCTCTTTGTCCTCGATTTCCCAGGTACTGTTGTTTTGTGGTATGTTCGGTACTTCAATCGCTTGCTTACCTGTTATTGAATCAGTGGCTGATTCTTCCTGAGGTTCAACGTGCATTTCAAGAATTTCACTGGAAAGTGATGCGACTTGTAGTATTTCTGTATCTTTACTGTCTAACGGCTCTTTCACATCATTGTCACTTATCTCACCAGCATCCAATGTTTCAATAACTTGATCGCCAGGCGTTCTTGTGTCCTGTTCACCATCATTTTCAACAGGTTTATTCTGTTGTGTATTTGGCGGTTTTTGGGCTTTTTTGTCTGGTTCTGAATGCGACACAGACGTTTCAACCGGACCATCGTCCTGCTGTTGCAGCGCCAGTTTGGATGTTACAGTTCCTGCAGTACTTTTATCATTTTCGCCCTTTTCATTCGCTTCTACTACTTCTGCGAAACTTTCCGATATATGTTCAGTACTTTTGTTACTCTCTTCCTCTGCAACACGGGCAATAAGTGATGATTTATCTGGGGAAAATGTTTTATTTAGCTCCTGTTTTTGGGATGAGGATGTGTCTGCGACAGTTTCATTCACGCATTCCACTTGAACCTCTTCAAGCGAATCATCCACAGTGAACGTACGACTCAAATCATTACTATTGTTTGGGCTTACTAAAGATGCTGTATCTTCTTCTTCATTTTTTGCTGTTATATCAATCGCACTTTTATTTAGCGGTGTTGCGCTGTCTGCCATTATTGGATTTATTGTTTTATCTTGTCCACTCACAGCAGCAGCTACTAAGCTACGACCTCGTGAAGCGATCGGCGTATTATTTGCACTGGTGGCAACAAAGGATTTACGAGCTTTTGATACAAGTTTTGTTGCAATGGCTGTAGGGGAATGCTTGCGTGTTGGCAGAACCGAACGACGTGTTTTTGAAATATGCGATGAAAGTGTTGTGCCGCCAAATGATTTTCTCACTCCACGCAGTGGGGAAGTGCTTTTCATAACACCTAATCGCGATGCAGAAGCTGGAATTTTTCTGGTTTGCAGTGCACCTGTGGGTGTCGAGGTGATGCCTGCAGTGGAGAAGCTACGACGTGTTGAAGTATTTATATTGCGGCGCTGTGCTGCTGCTACACTACCAGGCGAACCAATGGAAATGGGGCTTTTGGATGCTAATGGTGACGATCCGGCAGCGGTGTTTCCAATTTCCAATTTCGCAGCAGTAGAAGGCGTTTCCCGAATTGGTGTAGCTTTATTAACCGCTAAACGCATTGAACTGTTGACCTGCTTTTTGGCGCTGGTCAATATGGCACGTTTCATTAGAGATTGCGGTGTACGCAGTGGTGTAGATGTTAGGGGCTTTTGACCGACTCCACGCATTGGAGTTTTTGGGACTACACCTTTACATGTGGATGAAGATGTGTTGGGTGTACTAGAATCTTCTGTAGATATGTCTATAACCGCTGATGATGAGTCAGTGGAACCATCTACACTGATAACAGAGGCGGCGCTTTGTGGGGTTTCACCAGCTTTATCAAGGGAAACTTCTACTATAGGGGTCTTAAGTTGCATACCGATATCTTTCTTTTTCTCAGTTCCTTCTACTAGTTTAGCAGATGACAGTGGAGTTGTTGACAATTTGACATGGCTGGGAAGCGTACGATTTGTTTTCAGTGCCGGAGCAGGTCGTGGACTAGCAGGTGCTAGTTTATTAGGTGTAGTCAAATCGATTAAATGCATGGATGAATTTCTAGCAATTGGACGAGCAGATTTCTTCGAAGTTGCTGGTGTGGTAAAATCAATAAAATCACGGCTACCATCATCGCTAAAATCAGATAACATGCTTTTCGGCGTACTATAAACGCTTTTTGGAGTAGCAGATGTCGATGCTAAGGTGCAGGCGGCAGAAGGCTTAAATATGGCCGTAAAAGATTTTTCGACCCGTACGCCGGTTTCTCGAGGCGAGAACGATGTAATCACAATATCAGATTGTTGACATAACGTCAATAGACGCTTTTTCTTCTCTGTGCTAGCATTGCCTTTATTTTTTGTGCAATTTATTAAATTAATTTTAGGTGTATATTCAAATTTAATCAACGGCGTACTGGCAATGGTGGGCTCACATGCTTGGGGCTCTGGTGTTACGCTTCTGCGTTCTGTGCACCTAGTTTCAACGGCCGCTTTTTCTTTTGTACTGTCTATTGTTGAGTTATTTTCTGGCAAGATGTTTTTCGGTGACGTTTCCCCAGTTTCATCTGGCTTTTTTTGTGTATTAGCTTCGCCTGAAACCTCTGGCCCAACATTCTCAGATTCACTCATGTTTTCTAATTCAGACGAAGTATTGCCCTCTTCATCAAAGTTTATACAATAAGCAAAGCTTAAAAGAAATTAGTTTTTTAATCAAAGGGAACATATATAATGGGTCGCAGAAAGTAATTGTAAAGATATTTCGAAAATAAGGATAATTGTGCATACCCAATTGAAAAGTAGATAAATATCGAATTAGTTTAGTATAAGAAGTAAATAATATCGTTATTTTGTTAAATTTAGATATATATAAAATTGTGAGAATTTGAAATACATAATCTGTACAGTGATTGTGCAAAATCAGAATACTTGGCTTTAGCTTTAATGAAAAAAAAATTGCAACGAAAGCGGAAATATACGTTGATGCAAAATTATATTTTAAATGAATATATTCATCAGAGAGTAGTAGGATGGCAAAAAGGTACATACATACAAATGTATAACTTCAACAGATAAAAAGAGAATGTGAATTTTGATTTTTCACTCTCTACATTCGATTAAGGAAATTTTTTAGACGTTAAAATCAATATGTCACGCAACGCGGCACAAAAGTCATGACTCTCATCGGTTTAAGTATTTATTAGAACTTTTGATATTAATCACATAAATCGAAAATCCGAACGTTTGAATTATTGACCCTAAGGCCAATTATTTGAAAATCAAGTTTACACATTTCACATTTTAATTAATGCTAGTTCACAAATTTAATTTATTGAAAATTTTATTTTCGGAATAAATTAATTTTATTTTTAAGCCCCTTTTTAAGGAATTTTTTTAATAAATATTTACGATTATTTAATATTCTATTTCATTTAATGTAATAATTTTAACAAGCTATAAACCAGATTAAGGGGAAAAAATACATGAAAATTTTTGAAATAAATAATTTAAAAATCGATTTTTTAACAGCTCAGTAAGTAGACATAAACGCATTTATTGCTATTAATTTCAAAACAACAATTGAATAAATATAAAATAATACTTACTTATGAACTGTAAATCGTTTATCCATTTTGCGATGAGGCTAGGAAATAAAAAAAAAAAATATAAAAATAAATTAATTAAAAATAACAAAAACTTACCTTAAGATCTGGGCAAGAATTAGGTGCTTGCTCTGGCACACCAATCAATTTTTGGGGTGTTGAATTGGTCTCATCACTGGCCAAATTTTTGCCAGCTTTGTTGTTACTTGTAGTCGGTCCTTCTTCAGATTTTGGAAATTTCCACAAAAAATTTCTATCCAAAATTTTAATTCGGCTACCATCCAAAAGAGGCCGCTTTAATGTTATAATCTGATCGTTAACGCTTATTGGATACTCTTCGCAGTTATTGTGAATGGTTACCTATTAAACAAATAAAACCGAGCAAAACATATAATTAAAAATTTATAGCAATGAACATATGTAAGTAGTATATTATACGGGTTATTGTTGAAAATAACGTCAATTTCACAACACCTTAGACTCAAATAAGCACCAATTCTGGTGTGAATGTGTATGCAACGGAGCGACATCACAACGACTCGCCGCCATAGCTATATCCAATAGGTAGCAATGAAAACTTACCCGACCAAATGCATCGCACTGTATTTCGCAGTGTACACCAATTGCTCGTTGATCTTCCAACACATAATCACAGTTCATGTAATATCCTACAGTAAATTTGCGTCCTTTCGCTTCGATTACATTTTCTGGCAATGAAGCAGTAGCACTGTTGCCGGCAACATCCCCCGTAGCGACTGCAGCCGGCGTCGTTTCAGCCACATCCGCAGCTGCTGTATCGGGCAAGCAAATAAATTTAGCTCCATCCAAAGCCATAACAATCTCTTTGAAGATTCAATTGTAAGTTTTCCTTATACAAAATCTTTCACCAAAACTGCCCATTTGCAGTATCACAAAACTGAAAAAAAAAACACGAAAAACGATACAACCAAGCCGAGTCGACTGCGACTGCAGAAAAATGAAAGTTAGTTTTTCACCACTTTTTCGCGTCTGTTAATTCATACACTTATTTTTTGGTCGATGTATACGACAAAACATTGTCAAAATTAAGTTTTATTGAAATTGAAACTATTTTAATTTTATTTTTAAGCCCTTTTAGAATATTTTATTTGATTTACACCATTCACTGATTTCCTATCGGAATTTTTCTCTGGCTGCGCTTTTGCTAGAAAAGGGACGCGCTCGCTCACTGTTCGTTTTCTTTTCGCTATTCGCCTTTGTTACAGTTCTTTTCTTCTTCTTACCTTCAATGTGACGTTCATTTGAATTTTTTAAACTGCTGCGTTAGGATCCACAAGAGCCAACCCTGTCAATAGGTCTGTTCATCTGCATATAATAAGAAATATTGAGATAACTTTCGAATCGGTTATCATGTAACATTACACGATTTCAAATATATAAATATGTCAGTTTCGTCGTGTGTACAAGAAAGGACACGAATCTAATTTCTTAAGTTGAGGTGAAATTAACTACTCTTTCGAAAATCTCATGAAACTATTCAAGCTACGTGTGGCGGCTCCTAACAGTAACTTTCGAAATTTTTGGTTTGATACTAAATTCTAACGATAATGTGAATTTTATAGAAATACTTCTTTTTTTGACGAGAATTTATTTAAATAACCCGCACTAGATATATATAAAAAAGAGGGAATCGTTTATATTTCTTCATCATTTGAAAATTGTAAATTTTGACAGCCAACATTGAAATTCTGAGATTTTTCGTGGTGAGTGCAAACTTTAGAATTTTACCTTTGTAGCCAAAGAACGTTCATATATGAATAATTTCCTTCCCGAAACGAAATGATGTCGGTGCCAATCGATGCGTTGTAACACCTCTGGTTAGAATATATAACTCAGCGAATTAAATATGACGTGCGGACATCGGCGAATCTCCTGAATTCGCCTTGGTGTTTAACGGCAACATTGAGATTGACTGACAGCTGATTTTGCCAAAATTTGTTTATCATTTGTTTCTTTCAATCATACTTAAAGTTTGCATATTTATAGAAAAAATGGATGCAAAAAGAGCACTTGCAACTTGGGAGCTGGAAAATCGTTTGAAAATTTTACCCCCGTGTGATGAAATTTATCGCTATGATGGTGAACAACAGCGGCAAATACTTGACGCAAAACCATGGGAAAAGGATCCTCATTATTTTAAGGATATCAAAATTTCTGCATTATCCTTACTTAAAATGGTGATGCATGCTCGATCAGGTGGAACACTGGAAATCATGGGACTACTCCTTGGAAAAGTGGAAGACAACACCATGATTGTAATGGATGTGTTTGCTCTACCGGTTGAAGGCACCGAGACGCGTGTAAATGCGCAATCCCAAGCTTACGAGTACATGTCCGCGTATATTGAGGCGGCTAAAGAAGTCGGGCGTTTGGAAAATGCAATCGGCTGGTATCACAGTCATCCGGGTTATGGCTGTTGGTTATCTGGCATAGATGTATCCACACAAATGCTTAATCAAAACTATCAGGAACCATTTGTTGCCATCGTTATCGATCCTGTACGCACAGTATCAGCAGGCAAGGTCTGTTTGGGTGCATTTCGCACCTATCCCAAGGGTTATAAGCCACCAAATGAAGAGCCATCAGAGTATCAAACTATACCTTTAAATAAGATCGATGATTTCGGTGTACATTGCAAACAATATTACCCACTTGAGGTAACTTACTTCAAGTCTGCATTAGATAGAAAATTATTAGATTCGTTGTGGAACAAATATTGGGTAAACACTTTGGGAAGCTCAGGTTTGCTTACCAATACTGATTATACAACTGGACAAATTTTTGATTTGTCAGAAAAGCTGGAGCAGAGCGAATCCAGTTTGGTGCGGGGGCCATTTATTGCCACAGGTAAAATGTGTTATTGTACATTAACTTAACATAATCACTTTGATATACAATTTTTTTCGGTATTGAAGGCGCTGAAGGAAGTGAAAAACGTACAGAAGATAAACTTTCAAAGGCCACTCGAGACTGCAGTCGCGCATCCATTGAACTAATACACGGCTTAATGGCCCAAATTGCCAAGGACAAACTGTTTAATAAGGTTGGACTTGAAAAATAAGTTCAAGATGTGAAGAAATTAATTAACTTTAAACATAACTTATCATATTGCATTAATAATATGTTAATAAAGCTTTCAGCTACACAGATTACCGCATTTGATATTTCTTTTCGTTGATGGGCTTCAGACTAAGACGCCTCTTACGACAGGCATGCCTTACCACGGGTTACGGGTTCAAGAATTTACATGCCTGTTGTACGAGGCAACTAAAAGTTCCCTTGACCGTCGTATCTTTATACCGGAACGATCCGGGTTTTTATTCCGCCAAAGACCGTCATTTCCGTAACATTCCCCAAAAACTACTTTGAGGAATATTTTTGCGGTTACAACAACAACAGCGCCATAGCCCTCAAACCGCAGGGGCTGCAGCCATCTATCGATCGTATGAAGTAGGCATCATGTTTTCTCTACACCCCACTATGGTAATCCTCATCATAAAAGCTGTTCTTTAAATCTTTCTGAAAACCAATATACTGTTGCACCGTTCCCTTATATCGAGCTGCTGATCAGTGCTCTCATAGACCAGGAGTGCAGTCGAGCGAAAAATCTTTCGGATGTTTGTTATGATTCCTTGGGATTCCTTGGGCACAGAAGCTGGTGCGTGGGAAGCTTGCCCCTTGTACAAGATAGTGGTCCAGTCGATGTTAGATCCTCGGAGCATACACACGTCGAGAACATTTGATACATTGTCTCGCCTATCACGACAAGAGTGATCATGGTTGTCAGTCTTTCCATCTGAAAAAAGGCGAATAGCTTAATGCATTTATTATGGAGGAATCTGGTACTACAGAAAACGGCGAAGTCGATCCATCTCAACCTGCTTCGAGATGATTCGTCATAGAGACAGAATTTTTCGAGAATTTTGCCAAAGATATCTTCTTTTTCCACCCTAGTGGTAAAGTTGCCAAGCAAAATTTTGTTGTTTTCGTGGCGGGGACAACGACGGCGACGGAGTCTCCATGCGAATCCGACACCAAATTTACACTCCTTCATACGGCACTGTAGGAAATATCACAACCACCGCACTCCCTTGATGGTGATAATGTGAATCTTTTTACGCACGAAGCCGCCATGAAGCCGCCATAGGGGTAGTTTGGAAGAAGAGTAAAAAATAATTGAAATCAGCGAGTTTAATCTCAAGTATTGAAGTGGCAACCAACCACAGAAATGACACCTAACCTCAAAAATCTATTTAGATTGGATATTGACGTCACCATCGGTAATACGCTACTTAGGGTTGAAACTATTGATGAGTGCATAAGTTCGTGCCCGATTTCAAATGCAAACTAAAATTGAAATTTTTTGAAGAAAGCGCTTTTATTAATCAATTATGTATTCGCCATCATGTTCGGCAATCCACTTGCAACGTTTAACCAATTTACGGATGCCTAAATTAATAGAAATCGCGCGGTTCCTCCTTGAAAAAGTTGTCAAGGTGGTTTTTGACGTCTTCCACATTTTTAAATTTTTTTTCCATTCAAATTGTTCTGCAGCGATCGAAACAAATGATAATCAGAAGGTGCAATGTCGGGTGAATATGGGGGATGCGGCATGATTTCCCATTCATCTCCTTCAGTTTGGCCAGGGTCGTTTTTGCAACATGTGGCCTGGCGTTGTCATGATGGAAAAGAACTCCTTTGCGATTGGCCAAAATCGAACGTTTTTCATCAATTGCTTTCTTCAATTCGACCAATTGCTGACAATACTTGTTGGCAGTGATCGTTTCTCCAGCTGGCAAGTGCTCAAAATAGATCACGCCTCGGATATCCTACCAAATGCACAGCAGTACTTTCATCGGATGCAATCCATCTTTCGACATCGGTTCCGCCCCTTCGTGTGCCTGTTTCCATGTGCTTTTGCGTTGAACATTGTTTTACAGGATCCATTTTTCATCACCAGTCACGAGCCGATCCAAAAAAGGTTCGTTTTTGATCCGTCGAAGCAAAGAAATTGCTGTTGACATACGGTCCACTTTGTTTTTTTCACTTAACTGATGTGGCACCCATGTATCGAGCTTCAAAGTGTACCCAACCTTTTTTAAACGACGAAACGCAGTTGATTTGTTGACATTCAATTAACTGGCAACCTCTTCCGTCGAAATACGTGAGTTATTCGCAACTAAAGTCCTTAGAACATCGTCATCAAGCTCAGAAGGCCGTCCACTGCGAGGTTGATCTTCGAGGTTAAAATCTCCAGAACGAAATTTCGCGAACCATTTCTTTACTGTGCGGAGCTCTGGAGCACGGTCCAAATAAACTTCGCGAATATCTTTAGTTGCAGCGCCTACTGTTTTTCCTTTGCGGAATTCGTATAACATAATATGACGCATATGATCTTTTTCGTTGTCCATCTTCCATGCGTCTTTTCACTAAGCAACTGGAATCAAAATGAAGTTATTTTATGCTTGATTTACAGTTCAGACTTTTACCTTTCCAACGATATATAATATGTATATATTTCTTTCACGAGCGCCACTCTCAAACGATTCGAACGGCATCCAGCGGAATCGGGCATGAACTTATGCACTCATCCAATACATTACTGAAAAGCTCGAGGCCACATGAAGTAGCTAGATTTTGAGATTTTTCAAAAACATTGTTTTCTTTAGTAAAAAATACAATTTTATATTAAAAAGGGTTACTAGTATTACTTTTAATGCCACCAAAAATATGTGTACGAAGTTTCCTTAAAGTGTAACAAACAAAATCACATTCACATTCATAATATTGGTGTAGTAAAAAGAAATCAATGTTTTTTGCATAAAATTAATGGCTTAATTTCATTTCTCGTATCCAGCCTTATTCAAATGATTCCAAACGAGTTTTTGTGCAATTTTTAGCTTTTAGGCAATCTTCAGCTTTTATGCCTGACGGTCGGGCTCGACAATGTCCATGATTTTATCGATATTTTCGACAATTGTCTTTCCGCTCCATGAAACACCTTTTACGTCAAAATTACCGGAATCAAACCGAAATTGTGCATGATTGACTGTAACAGTATCAGAACCATAAACGCTATTCACATTTTGAGCCGTCTGGCATGCGTTTGCGCTCTTATCGAGAACACTGTGAAATATAGCGTAGTTTCTCTTTGCTAGTGTCCATATTTGACGCACGCTCAAACAAAACCGAATCACCAATCGCCATAACTGAAAGAAAAGCTTTTTTTAAAAGAAATGTCATTTTTCTAACGCTACATATAGACAACGCCATCTATTGGAAAAATAATGGATTTCTTTTTACTACACCTAATATTAGCAGGAATTTCTTAACAACTGCTATGTTACTATTATTAACAAAAACACCTATTTGAAAACTCTCCTTTCTACACAAAAATCATGCTTTTTTGAATTAACTAAAAGAAAATACTGCGGTAAAAACTGAATCCACAAAAGTGTTGTGGGTGCTGACATGAACTTGTCCGCCATCATGCGCTTATCAAAATGCCAAAACCATTCCTTTGAACAAAGAAAAAGCACAAAATGAAAACCATTTTAAATATTGGAATATACATACGTACGAGTACATACAAATGCACAAATGTATTTATCTATTCTTCTATATACTTGTAATGAAGTAAATGCTATCTCTTAGTAAAGGTGCCAATCAAACTGAGAAGGGTGCAAGCGCTTTTGATTGTTAATGAAAAGGCCATGTCAACGTGGGAGAGTAACTAAACAAACAAAAATATTATTAATCGTAAGCTTCACTATCATCCGAACAATTTGGCTATCACCTTGACACCTGCAACAAGTCACACGTGCCTGAAGCGAAGTGATTTGCTACCGTGGTAAAGAGCAGAACTGATCCAGCAGCGCATTTCGTATCATCACTCCTGCCAACAGAAAAAATGAAGGGCTCTCTCGACGAACAAAGATCTATTGACGATATCCGATGAGCTAGTTTTACCATTATCGACCAGCGAGTCAAGCTCTTCATACTCACGCTTCTCGGCCTATTTCTGTATTTTTTTGTATGTAAATGCGTCTCGCTTCCAGCTTCAATTCTCTTTATCTATCCGACTTCGCACGTGTAATCATCAATCGCAACGTTGCGGTCATTCCAGGCGCTTGTCTTAAAATTATAGACATTTATTCTTTTGACGGTCGTCATCTATAGTTGGGTGGTTCATCCGATTCTGTTGACGCTGCAACTGAACTTCAGCGAACCCTTAAACCGAATATTTCGGAGTGGCTCCATTAAAGTTTCTTCTCTTTTCCATGACCCCAAACGACGTGGACGGAAGAGTAGGAATTGAGTATAGCGACTGTGGCTATATACCATATTACGCACCTTCCCTATTAGCTATCTGTAATAAGGAGCATTCTATAGTAAACTTAGCAAATTATTTTTTTGTTCAATATAAAATCGTCTCAATCGTCTCTCTCTTACAAAAAAACTACAGTATTTTTCAAACATAGCAGCTGCAATTAAAGAGAGCCTGATGGTTCTCACAAAGAGGCAGCCAGAGAGTCTTGAGCTGCTTGTAGGGCTAGCTATGTAAAATGGGTTCCAGGATGTCCGAAGGAAATTTAAGGCAGATGGACTAGCTAGATCAGCCTCCAATGAACAATTAGCTCCAGGTAAAGAGGTAATCTATGTACATTCCTCTGGCTAAATGAAAATATTTCGTTGATAAACATATCAAGGGAGTAGCTGAATATCACTGACTTGCGCGATAAGCAAACAAACCTGGCCAGGATTGAATGTGGGTCGCACATGCCGATTATTGAAGTTTAATAGTAATGACGTAAGAACTCTAATAGGAGGGCTAACGCATCACTATGCTATTGGTAGACCCACCGATAGACAAGGGGTACCATACAAAAATTACTGCAGGAGTTTCCCTGAGGTCAAAGAAGAAGAGACGGTAAAACATAAAGCATTACGCAGGAAAAGACTCACAGCTATCGGCATCTTAGAAGTTAATTATATTTAAACAATTCAACTGAATTGGTTTTATTAAGGCAACAGCGTGAGGAAATTTCAGTCCACTCTACATAACTACCTAGGGTATTATATGTAGTTTTGAGTATATTTCCTCTTTGAATATGAAAAAATAACTCATACGCCGTGTCGAACAGACGTAATGCTAAT